TGGAGTTGGAGTCTTTTTTTTTTCCCTCAAGTGCGGAGACACAGACAGGGAGGTAGGAGCTGGGAAGGCAGCGAGACTCTTGAAAAGGACATTTTTCCATTCACCGGGGGGGGGGGGGGGGTGGCTTTGCCTCATGTCTCCACACTGATTAATGCTTCCTTTCACGTGGACTGAAGGGAAGCCGGGTGTGAGCGAGTGAGTCCACCTGTGACAAGGACAAGCAGCCGGTTTTCAGTGGGAGATGCCGCAGTACGGCAGGTGGCCTCCATACTAAGGACGCGAAAGGTGACCCGCGGACGGGCACTGCCCTTCCACTGCTCAGCCAGTGAAATGACAGGTTAGAGCCGAGGGTAATATACTGACCAAGCGGCAAAACACGCTGGACAGACAGACTGACTTGTTGATCTGCGCAAGGTGCTTGTGAGTGGAGCAGATGTGTAACAGACTACGTCTCCGACCCGGGGTCGGGGTCAGCCGTCCCTCTCGTTTCACAGCCTAGATTCAAGAATTAGCAGGCCACAGCAATGTTTTATTTAATGTTTTTTTTTTTTACTATCAAAATGACCCGATTGAAATGGGAGCTTAATTAGATCAGCTGAGAGCGGTTGTTAGAAAATTTCTGAAGTCCCTATAGAGCAGGTTCCTGAATCTGTCACCCGGCAACCAGGCCGGTCTACACCGGCCGGAGGCGGGGGGGGGGAAACTGTTCCCTCTGGTGACACCCCAGTGCTAATGCTAACGTGCCACTGAAAAACTCTGTTAATCCTCAGATTGCAAAAGATGTCTGGAAATATCCCAGCCTGTGATAGCATGTAGGTGCAAAATGAGAAAAAAATGCCATTAGAACCAGAAACTGCATTTATTGAAGAAATTTTCCAGCAAACTCCCACGTTGTGTGGGAAAATGGGACGCCCACCTTGAGTTATTGAGGAAAAATATCTACAGTCTTATCGCTGCAATAAAACATTAAACAGCATCTGTTGCCAGATTTTCTCTGCCAAGAGTTTGTTTGTATCATCTGGAAAGCGGAGTGTAACCATGCGACTGGCAGGTAGGGCGTCCCGAGAACGGCATGAAATGGCAGCTTCAGAATCATCCGCTTCTGGTACAGGGTGGGGCGGGGGCTATGGTGAAAAATTCTATCTTTATATCACTAAAATAACCGTGACTGTGTTTCCCTGCCACTCACACTTGTCACTTTGCTGCTTTTAACGAAAGATATAAGCACTACTCATTCTCTAAAAAGTTTGCCGGTTTAAATTTCTGGCCTGGTGGACCAATACACCTATATAACTTGATGTGAGACACCTTAAGTGATGTTCCAGGCCTTTCGTGTGTGTAAATGGCCTTTGGCCAATCACAAACGTGTATGTAGCGGGCGTTAGAACACTATAGACTGGGTCAGGGACTCTGCGCAACAAGCTAACAGTTTTCTGAATCGTTAGCGCTTTCGAGGAGAGGTTAGAGGTTTCGCAAAACAAATGTAACACTTTAGCCCAGTGAGAATGGCAGGTCAGCATGAACAGTGTGCGGATTCTGGAGGCTATAAATAATCTTGGGGGGGGGTCGCTACCCAAAATGAAATAAACAACCACGCTCTTATGAAAGTCAAGCTGGCGGTAAATGATGTTTTGTAATCTGCAATTAGACCCCGTTCATGCATATTGAAGCGGGCCACTTCCTGACAGCGATGGCGGCAAGCAGCAAACTCGCACCTGAGCTGCGTGTCATCAATTAAACAAAATGCTCATAAACGAACAATTTGGCAGGTTTTAACAGGGCGCGTCCCTTAGTCAGATAAATGACGCGTTAATAATAACAGCACTTTCTGCTGTTCGAAAACGGGTCACCCTATGCTTTTCAAAAAAGGCACCCAGATTAAACTGGTTGGCATTTCTGCAGGTTGCCACAGATAAATTTCCTGCATGTACACATCAGTTTATCTGGTTGCTGAAGAGATATTATGTAATTATCCTCCCCCCACCTCACACACCAACACCCACCGCCCCCAACACACACATACACAAAGTGAGAAAACATTATAAGGACCTTGTAGGATTTGATCCCTGGGCTCACCTTGGTCTTTGGGAATGACCGGAATATCCTGAGCTCCTGGGGACATGCAGGTGATCAGATCCCCGCTCACCTGACCTCGGGCCTCTGTCAGGTTCCCGAAAGAGCAAGTAACCCCTGCGGAGAGGTCCGGGACTCCACTAACTTTCACCAGGAGCTGCGGGAGAGATGGTTCTGGTCAGTATTCTCCTTCCACGCACAGAGTAACCCCATCAAAGGAAGGTCTTTGTCCCAGCCAGTCTTATTGCTACATGTACATCATACTAGACAAATGCCCATTTATCATTCATGTGGAGCAGGAATGTGTTGCATTCATTTAAAAAATTTATTGGCAAAATAGAGCCCCGGTGGAGCACCTTCCTAGAAAACTATGTCCCATTCGAATACGGCAAAGAAATGCTAATCTTTGCTGGTGCTTCCATTAAAATTTCCATTATAAAGTATAACTTAACACTGCAACCTCACGGATCCGATCTTTTGTTAGCTGCCCGAGCAAGACTGATACCATTTAATTCTCCTGCTGCCTCGGCAGACTTGCACGGTGCCACGTTTAGGGAGCGAGATCTCAGCTGCCACTGTGACGGCACTAGGAGGAGCGCGACTGGTGCACCGAACGAGGGTCATTAAATATTCACAGCGGCTGCGTGTTGACGCCGTATACAGGCGAGCGAGCGGACACACATACTGTATGTGCATGCATGCACACACCAGCACTCTGCTAGCATGCTACACTATCTGCTAATATTTTGTACCACCTTGTTAGCGAACTGGAGGATTTCATTTTAGGCTCGCCTGCAGCGGGACGCTGGTTTTCCGTAACGAATCCACGCATTCCGTGATGCTACTCTCGGCACTCCGACAAAGGTCGCTTAATTAAATCTGTGCTCTCCGCCGCCTATTTCCTCTTGGCAGGGCTCTGTTGTCATGGTGATCCCCATCCAGTGGGATGTGGCATTTGCAGGGTGACCCCCTTGTGGTACCAGGTTTGTCCGTTTCATGGAAGGAGGAGGTATGTCTAGACCCACAATGCATTGTCACGCGAACACCTCAGTCTACTTCAGCTCACTGGTACTAGTGCCAGAGAAACAGCCCAAGTCCAGTGATCACAAGTTCCACACACAGATGCATCAGCTGATTGGCCGATGGAGATTTTTAATTTTTTGACAAGCGGTCGGTGACGGAGTCCAGGTGACCATCGGGCGAATCGACTTGTGCATGTCACAAACCAGCCAACTAGTACACACTGGTGTAAAACTACACACATAAGGCGCTTTCACACCAAAATTCTGGAACCTGGTCCTGATTTACAAGTCCTTGGGCTCTCTCACCCCGAAACTTGCTATGCTTAATAAGCAAGGGAAATGCAAAAAATTTGCAGGTTAAACTTCATACATAATTTCATACAAAACTACACCTCTATACTAAAACAATGGATAAATAAGCTGTTTTGTTAGATATTTGTTAGTTATTTGGGGAATCGATCGTGATCAAAATGGGATGCTGCCTTTTATTTATATTTTACTTATATGATGTGTGACAATATCAATTATTATTATTATTATTATTACATGATTCTTATTCAATCTGGCCAGCAGATCGATCTTTCATCAATTAGAGCTGGCAAGTTGGCACCTGCAAATATTAGACAAAAGTATATTGGTTAGCGATCAGATTTTCTGATGCATAAATATGGGGATGCAAGCAAAAAATGTATTAATTGATGCATTAAATGTAATTCAGGTACAAAAATGGTTACATCTGCTCAATTCTTAATTTGCTACATTCCGTTTTTCTGCACTTCCTCGTAACTTCCGTGTTAGTGCTTCTGGTTAAGCAATCGGCAAGCTATTGCTGTAAGCGCTTCTCCAGCAGTTTGTGTTCAAACACAAAGTACCTAGTCTGGAGTAGGTACCAAAAAAGGGTTCTGGAACTGCCTCCGAGGAACTACAATCGGGCTGAGTTCCTGCGGTGTGAACACAGAAAGGGACCTGATTACAGAAAAAAGTTCTGGCAGTGTGAAAGTTTTGGACACCTATAGCGTCAGATTTAAATTTCACGTTCTTAATGGATGTTTTTGTCCAAAGCAACAGCAAGTGATGAAAATTTGGAGTCAGAGAGAAGGATCAGTTCACTTGGAGCAGTGATGAAACCTTCCTTATGGTACCAATGATGTTATGATCTATCTGCTGGAAACAGGATTTAAAACCACAACCTTCAAAACATGGGTATAGATCCCTAATCCACGGAGTCACACACCACCTGCACACACACCCATACACACCAACGCACAAAAAAACCGACAGTCAACAGCACAAATAATTTACAGTGACACTTCATCACACACGCGTAAGAATAATTGTTGTTTGAAGGCAGCAAGGAAAGAGAAGCATACTGGGTAGAACGTGCTCCATATAATAGTCTTGCCCCAAGGAATGCTGGGAAGTATAGATAAACAGCAGTTGATTTCTGTGTTGGGTAAGAAGGAGTTCAACAGCAGCTACTCCCCCGAGATCATAAAAATGTGCTGGACCCCCCCACCCCCTCCCCCCAGGAGCATCAGAATCGGGGCCCACATACAAAGAAGCATCAATGACAAACGAGGCCAAACTGGGGAAGGAGACCCGGATTGGGCACAGGTGGTCCTCTGAGGGGCAGCCCTGTGTCGCAGCTCATTACGGAACGAGCGTAACAGACCGAGAGGGTCGTTTGAAGGAGGCACGCAGATCACTTCCTGACATTTTGAGAGCGAACAGGGACCAGCAGGACAAGTGGCGGTATCGGGGCGTGGAGACGAGCCCTCGGTGGACGGGGGAGGGCAGCTCATCGACTTCACGGCAATAAAGTAACACACGGACAGGGAACCTGTTTGTCCAGAACATTTCGGCTAATAATGGCCCCAGCACTATGAGCCATGGACTGCTTGCCTGAGTCCCATGAGGGGGGTTAGGATGCGGGTATGGGGGGGTGGGTTAGCTGTTAGACCTCTGAAGGAAAATGTGGGGTCAAGCTAAGGTTAAGGATGGGTGTGGGTAATAGTGGGGAGATGGTTAGGGTTAGGGGAGGGTGTGGGTGAGGACAGGGAGGGTGAGGACTGGGGAGGGTGTGGGAAGGGAGAGTGGTCAGTCATCATTCTGACAAAAGTGGAATTGTCCATTATCCTGGATCCTGTCATTAATTTGACTCATTACCAGTGAACTGGCCTGAATTTAATGTAATTGCACATCTGAAATAATCCAACCCCTCCTCACTGGATCTGGTCTCAGAAAGGCCATCAGACTGTGGTTTGAAACAACAACTGTGTAAAGACAGCTGTCATCATCATAAGGTCACTTGTGTTTGTGAAACTGGCTTGAGTTTGGCTGGTGATACTGGTCATGAGGTGACATGGCATGCATTTCAGGTGAGGTTCTGACACTCTGTCGCCACCAGCATTCCCAGCACGAGATACAGGGCCAGACTGGGAGGCTTGCGGGGGCTAGGAATCCCAACTGTACAGCCATGCAGAGTTTGTTGTGCACACATGCACTGCACTCACAAACCCACAGAAACTATCTAACACAATCTTACACCTCAATAAAAATAAGGGGCAAATATTTTAACGTTTTCATCGAGGCGGGGGGGAGTGGATGATGATGTGATTTGTGGAGTGGGTGGGTGGTATTAAACACTGTTGTTTCAAAACAAGACATAGCTTTTTGTTTTTAATTTTTCAGTGTGGGACAATCCTGTAATATATCACCCAAAATAAAAAAATAAATAAACAAGCAAACTAGATAGATAGATGGATAGATGGATAGATAGATAGATGGATGGTCGGATGGACGGATGGATGGTGGGCAGAGGGAGGGTGGTTCACCCACTAATGTGGAGCACACGTTTTGCGTGGTGAATCAGGCCCTGTGTTGCTCATCAATAAAATTTGTTTTCGCAGCATCATCTGTATGACAGGTGCGTCACCAAAGTCCATAACAGGACTTAATGTATGGCCGTTAAAACCGATAACGGACCAGGTGCCAAAAGTGTTTCTGCGTTGCCGTTGATGTCATGGCAACTGTACAATTTTTTTCAGTGTAAGTATTTGATCAGTCATTAATGTATTTATACATGATGTTTATGTCAGTACGATATGGATGCGTGGGTCTCACAGGGATGCGGGATCATGACGGCCACATTATACCAGGAACTGAGAGGTATAGCGAGGGACCGATCCACCTACACGTTTGCCACTACAACATCTAGCTTGTTTCATTGTCCGATTATTTACAGGTCTGCCCTGAATGGCGGGCCAGGCCACCGGGGAATCTCCTGGTACTCCCATTGGCTGGGTCGGGCCTATGGAAATGGGCGGAGTTAACGAGCCTGGTCAAAGCCGGTCAGAAGGTGGATCTCAATGTCGGATCGTTTCTCATCATTGCTAATTACTACTGGAGTTAAAAGATAGTATTAAAAACACCAACTTAATATATATGTCCACACTGGTTAAGCTGTTAATAATAATAATATTAAGAGATAACAACAACAACGACAATAATAACAGTAATAATAATAATAGTAAACTAACAAATAATAATAAACATTAATAAAAAGATGCTGGTGCAGTTTGCTGATTCATGCTAACTGACTGGGACTCACTGGGATGCTGGGCTCGGACACGGCGATGCTGTCAGGACGCACGCTCGCCGTCACGCACTGGCCGAGGGTGGAGGCGAAGCGCCGGGGCTCCTCCGCTCGTGGACACGCCTCCTTCCTTGAACACCTGTTGTGTGGGATGTGGGGGGAGAGACGCACAGCTGTCCAGATATGCTCACAGAAAATAGATGGGTCTTGTGTGACACATACAATTTGCATATTTTAAATATTCGCTTAGTGGCAGGAAATTTAAGCACTATTTCTCTGCTATGTTCCGGTACTGTAAATGCAGCATTTTCACTGTGACCTAATCCGGGGTTTGGATAAAGCTGTAGGGTTGTGATGCCATGCGCTGTTCTGATGACCACCGGCATGGAGACAGAATGTGTAGAACCCACGGCCGTCCCTCCAGATGCCTGTTTAATAGAACCTCGCCAACACACTCCCAATCACTCCCAGTAGGAATGCGTTTGCTTCTGAATTTAAGACTCTGGCAATCACATCGTCAAGCATGTGATAGTTTGGGGGGATGCAATCTAATCTGTGACAAAGCGCTGAGTTGTGAAGATGGCTCTTGGATAGTATCAAGCAGGAACGGTTAACTTCTTTTAGAAAAGTCACGACACTAAGACACCTGTAATTAGAAAGAAAACCCTTGGGAAACAAATGGGTGGGAGAGGGGGGGACCAATTATATAAGCACTCGACAACTTTATATTGTTGCCATGGTTCCTCCAGACGGCCATTATCTCAGCCTGATTGTTTTTTTTTCCAATTTTCCTCTTAAGCTGCCATTATCTGAAACTCAGAGTGCCGAGCAACTCGCTCTGTTCCAAACCCGTCGTGTGCTGCTCCATTCCCAAACAATGGCTGCTCTTTGGTTCTGACCCGTCCTCTGCCTCAACCTTCTCCAAGCGCAGGGACATGCTTGATGAGTACTAGTGAGGGGGTGTCCGTGGACATGTCACCGTGGCCTGATAAATCAACTCCTGAATGATGAGCCAGGAAACACTGTAGCTCTTGACTTGCATGCAGAAGATGTAGGTGCACTGAACCACTCAGAATCTAACCAGGATCTTTATCACGAGAAACCTTCACGCCTGATCGAGGTCAGGATCTCACTGGAAACAGAAATGGGTCTGGCAGAAAGTGATGGGAATGATGGATACCTGGAACATCTTGGCATTGAATAACCTGGATTTCAGATCTAGGTTATTCTACACTGCATATAAAAACTCTGATGTGATACCATTAGACACTTTCCTCAAAACCACACAGTGAATATGCTAGGTACATAAAATATATATATTTTCATGGGATGAGAACACAATTACAGTCACACTACATACTAGAACTGCCAAATCATTTTATCATTTTATCAGAGAGCCAGGTAACTTGATTTATCCAGTCTATGTAAACTGGTCTAACCATTGGAATTATGGGTAACACTTTAAAGTCAGACCACCATGTTTTTAGTAATTTATAAACACATTCATAATGGATTATAATGCATTCATAAAGCATTATAAACATGGCTATAAATATTTATAAAAAGGCATAACATATTATAGCCATATGTCTTTTGCATTATAAATGCTTTACGAAGCTCTCATCTATAATGCACTATAGATAGAATCGTGGTTTAAAATTCTGAGAGATTACCACAGGTTACAGAGATAACTGGCGCCTCCCTCTTGCACTGTAGTTGCTGTTACTTAATCCAAACTGCCATCACCCATCAGGTTCGGCCCCATTTTAACAAGCTTCTGAAACTATGACTGCAGAAAGAGAATCGGCTGATTGTGCTTCAGCTGATTCCCATGACAACACATGAGCTGTAAAATGGTCCAGCTGGCAAAAGAACAGCACCGTGTTTGCTGGTGGGATGGTCTATGGTCCAGACTTCTTGAGAACCTGCTGGTCCCCTCACAGCCAAGCGACTGATGAGATGCAAACACATGATTCGCCTCTAATGAATGTTTAATTATTGCTGTGGCTTGGTCCACAAGTGGGTCAGTAATGTTTGGTTACCGTTTGTATTAGGCTTTGGTAGCAACCTTTGTTATCCCCCATTCCTGGCAATTGTCTGGTGCTCACGTCTCACCTTCTGCAGGGAGGAGATCATTGCACCTACTTTGTCAAAGGGAATAGAGATATAATTTTGTCAATATCTGCCTGTGATTGCTACAGGGCCGCTACAGGACCACTACAGGACTGGTAAGGCAAGGAGGTAGTTTTAATCTGTTCTCGTCTACAATTTATTTGATAGTTCATTTTAGAGCAAGACTGTCAACCAACTCAATATCCAAGCAGCTGCTGCCTTTTATTGGATATTGGCTTGTAATATCAGCATGCAAGCCAGTTGCCTGGATGGTATAAAACATCCCTCAGGCAGAAGACTATGAAGGATGCCGCTGTACAGGCGTGGAAGGGCTCTGGACTTTTGGTATGGGGCAGGAGATGGGGAGGAAAAAAAAACAAAATATAGATTCATAAAGTGCAGTAATGCATGATGGGTGGAACCACCAGGAACCAATAAGAACAAAGAAAAATTCACCACCAAGTTAAGCGTTATTCTAATAGGCCCAGTTATGCCTTTTGTGGAGACACAAGATCTGCACACATTTCAGGTTGCTGGGATCAGGTTGGAGATCCACTGTTAGACCAGACTGTATTACATAGACTCTCCCGGCTTCTGTGAGTATTGGCTACCCCCCCACACTCCCCATCCTGTTCTTGCCATTAATTCCCATTAAATCAGCGAGGACAGATGCTGGACGAGACATGCTCTCATTTCTAAGGCATTTCCCCCCATTCCTTGCTAATGCTTCTAAAACCCTGAATCGACACCCGTATCAGAAGACCGAGCATGTGGGATTAGTGGTCCCTCATGTTCAGCTGCAGTAGCCAAGGCCCACCACCAGGGGGCCTGAGACTGCCAGGATCCTTAAATTTACTTAAGGGCCTTAATAGGACTAATGTGTGATGTTCAACAGAACAAATCCCCAAGGTTGTGTTTTTTTTTTTTTTTTGTCGACCCTTCTGTCTTACAAATGGGGTTTTTTAGGACTTCTGAAACAGCTCAAAACTATTTGAGCAAATATCTGTCTTTTGGATCATTAAACCATCCACTTCAGCCTGGATAATCTAAATCTTATAGAACAGAACTTTCAGCTCTATCAGTGCACACAGTGACTGAAGAAAGGGTGATTGATGGGGTGTAACCACGGTAACCCACGGCGAGATGGGAGACTCACATGTTGTGCAGGACGCACCAGCCGCAGTGGGGGTCCCCTGAGCTGAGGCACTCACCACACGTCCCGTACTGCGCACACCACTCGATGGGCACCTGTGACACCTGCAATGTAGCGACATCATCAGCTCGGCATCTGCACACAAACATGATGTCATGAAAAAGCATGAGGTCATTCATTAGAAAGAATAGGAGCCAATCATATTTTTGCCCCAAAATACTGATTGAGCTGTAAAAAAAATCCCTGCACTTTTTAATTCTACCTATGATCAGCCCAACTGGTCGGCTTTAACTCACAAGCCAATCAGCCAATCGAAGCCAGCTGCTCGTCATTAATCACCAGGTCTGGCTTGTTCCATCACCGTCCAGCTCATGGTGTACTATTCTATCTTTAGAGATGGGTTTTCGTTGCACCGGCACACACCCAGAGCTGAGTCAGTGTTACACACACACACACACATTGGATCTATTACCTAATCCATGCTTTGCAGTTCAGTTTAATGTGATGCAGAGGATTTAATGAACTATGATCAATGCATGTATTGTTTTCAGAAGCAACATTTTAAAACACAATTATGATTTTGCTATTTGTAAACACTAAGGGTTAAATGCTAAACATTGAAGAGCATATAAAAATTATGAAAAAACTAAAGTCAGACTAAAGTCTGAAGCGGAAGGCTTTTGACAAGGAGAGGGGAAAGTAGTCCAGAGTTTCCCAACTCAGTCCTCGGGGATCCGCAGACGGTCCACGTCCAGCTTCCATTAAGGAGCTAAAATGTGGACTGTTTGACTGGAAGCTGGGTAGGAGCAAAAGTGTGGACCGTCTGCAGGTCCCTGAAGACTGGATTGGGAAACACTGAAACAGAGCCTCAGACAGACGGTAGCTACAGCACGGAAAAGGCTAAGCTGTGGCCCATTCCACTTTTAACCTTCAGTACTAATCACACTTAAACCGTTCTGACTCATACCATGTCATTGTATTCCCAGGGTGGGGGAAGGAGTGTTGGACAGTCTATTATCTTTGGACTCAAACATATTTTCATTCTCCTTTAATCACTGATGTTTCAAGTCCTGAAACATTTCTCCATTTTCCTTATGTTACTGCATTTCTGTATTTTTACCCCCAATAACCTGCACATCACCTTTCAAGACAACTGCATTTGCCCTTTAATTGGTGCTTATTGAGACAGGCATGGCTAAGCCTATAGATGTGTAAATGCCTCTGTCTAGGGTATGTGGACCACCTAGGCTGGAGTATTTCTGATCTATGAGAACTCTTCTGCTGATGACAGACATCAGCAGGCAACTGGAAGTGTCCAAACCGACATGCTCGCCTGCCTATTCACTCAGTAGGTGCAGAACAGCAGGGAACTGTGGGAAGAGACCAGCTGTGGCGTTTTGGCGTACTTGGGGGAGGGGGGGGGGAACAGTTGTGCTCAGATTAGTGGCATTCATCAGACTCTGGTGCAGTGTGACGACGGCAGAGGGGTGTGAATGAAAGCACTTTTTCTGCTGGCTTGATACTCAGATGTACAGAAGGTGGGGGGGGGGGGGGGCCCTTTTAAAAAAAAAAAAAAAAAA